AAAATCATAGGCGGATACAGATCATTGAGATTGGGGGTACACAAAAAGTATAGTAAATAAGGTTTTTGTTGGTACTGTTTCTAAAAAGGGTGGTAATGGTCTTGTTATGTTATAATTTTCTTATGAGAGAACGACTAAAATTGCATTGGTAATGCATAGGCGGTGTCAGGGCACCTATGTTGGGAGGTAAAACATATTACATAACCCCCTTTTTGGACGCCTGGATCCGCCTATTAAAGCAAAAACGTGTCAAAAGAGGATGCACAATAACTGTATATGTTATCACATGATACCTTTTATTCACTGTTCGTAAAACTGGTGCAGCATCGTGATCTTCGCCCAAATGACTCGCTTCACGAATAGGACCCCCCAATTCCCAGTGCTCTGGAGCCGCCCCTGGTAAAGTTATGAACTTGAAATTTTCAGGGAATGTGCCCAATTTAGTTTTAGGAAAAGTCAGAAAATTTCAGCATCGTAGCTTCAGCGGTTTCGGGGATATTTCCGAAAAACCTGAGGGGTGGATAAAAACAACCCCCCCTGCCACTAATAGGGTTAAACCGGTAAAAGACACAATATGGATAAAAGACACTTAAAACATAGGGTAAGGTGCCTAATTAGCGACCCTTTCCGATTTGCGACCCACCTCCCTACAGAAAAACTGGCAGGAGAAAACGGGGTAAAAACATCGTCAAAAGGTCAGCCATACTTTGGTTATCAAATTAAATTATTTTCCGGTCGTCGATGTTTCTGGTGGGACGTTTCAGATGAGTTTAAATAAAAATGACGAGTTTCTTATCCAAAACGTGTGTGTTTGGGCCCTCTCTGACGAAAAGCGATGCACATTAGGATGATGCACCTTTTTTATTCTTAATCGACATTCCTTTTTTAATTGATTGCCGTTTTCCCATAGTGAATCGCTCAACTGTGCACAGCATGGCGGCTAAAAATGTGTCGCAACTCATATTTCCTATTTGCGCCTGACATGGTCGCAAATAGCTCAAGAAGGGAAAGAAAGGGGAAAAGAGAGAAATGAAAATGAGGTGTTGCTGAAGCTTACAATGTGTGGCAGGGGATGCCAAATGTCGTCACCGACTGCAGGGGTGCCGAATTCAGCGCGGATCTCGAATATCATACAAGATAGCCCCAAAATTTGGGTTTCCGCCTTCTTTTCGCCTTCGGTGCATCACGTGATCAGTTTTTACTTACGTAAATGTGTTGGATAAACGTTCCTGTTCGAGTGATTGAGTGCTTTGCGTATAGGTTACCTTTTTTGAGATCATATTTCATCTTTTCAGGCGTCGCATTTTTTGCCATTTTTAATATGGGGAAACCCATAGACTTATTAGCGACCCTCCCCGGTCGCTAATCGGGAAGAGTTCCCTATTAGCGTTTTTTTTTTGCAATGGTTTGCCAAAATGCTCACTACAAATAAGTTAGTGAATATTGGGGCAGAAAATGACTATATTTCAATAGAAAAATGAACAATTTCTCCGAAAATCAAGCCAGTAACACAGTGGCACCTACAGAGCGTGAGCAATGACGGTTCAAATTAAGGGGGTCGCTAATTAGGCACCTTACCCTATATAAAACACAAGTGGACGTACTAAGATGACAATAACATACTAGCAACTACATTCCTACTTCCTACAGCATGCTGTAGGTACAGGTGACTGTACATATGTTTGACATGTGAACAGGTTTAACTATTGTTTATAGGTACAAATTATAAGTAATAATACATAGATAAGCAACTGTCGAGTGTCGGCAATATAGTGGTATAAAGTTTTGAACAGAAAAAAAAAATCATAAACAGTACGTTACTAAATTGGACAAGTTTCACCAACCTCAACACAGAGCACTCTAAGCACTCACCTTGTGACCATCAAAAGTAACCTATTCAATCAGAAACCACAGCGGACAGGTGGACGGCGCGCCGACTTACCCAGAAGTGTGCCAGCGTGTTGACCTCGAAGGTCTTCTCGATCAGGTTGTCGGGGATGTCCAACAGCGGCTTCCCCGTCACCATGCCGGCATTGTTCACCAGAATGGTCACCTAGACAAGGTCAACCGAGGTCAAATGAGGTCAAACGAGATCACACGAGGTCAAGCGAGGTCAACAAAGGTCAAACCAGATCAACAAAGGTCAAACGAGGTCAACTAAGGTTGACCTCGAGGTCAAATAAGGTCAAATAAGGTCAAACGAGATCAAAAGAGGTCAATATATGTCTACCGGGACTTGTCATCTGTCGGGAGAAGCTGCTGAAGGAGATTTTGATAAATATTAACTAGATGACGAAATGATACGGGAAAAACCAAAGGGTGGTGTCCCGGAGTACCGACCAGTGACTGCTCTTCTGCTGAGCGAGTGGGTACCTATGTGTTTTCCATGCAGTGCACTGCACGTGGCTGGGACATAAGCAGTGCATTCGTTACCACGGGACACGGGGCCTCGTAGCCCGTAGGCAAATCCCAGCATGTTTGTTCTAATGACTATGCTATGAGCCGATGTTTGTAGTGCTGACGCAGTGGATGCCTATGCTAACACAGGACTTCGCCGCTGATCTTTGGGCACATCCGCATCACTAAAGCGGCTGAGCAGTCGCTGAGGGGCCCTGACTGACCGTGGGACGCGGTCCGTGCCATCCGTATCCCGCCCCGCACGGAGTTCGTGCCATCCGTGCCGTGACCGCAGCCGAGCACGTGCACAGATGGTACGCGGCTGGTTTCCCGGCCCGACCTGGTGGTCTGTTGGCCAGATCAGACCCTACCGGACACGTAGGTACCGGATGGCACAGATGAGGATCTACAGTACGGCCTATCGACGCACCACATTTACACAAGCACAGGAGACATTGGTCCATGAACGACCTGATCCCGCCGGGCTGACCTGACCTAACCTTGTCTGACCCTACATCATCAGCCCTGGCCTAGCCTTCTCCGGCAACGTCAGCTTTGGCCTAGTCTGCACCCACGGTTCTACTGTACTCATTTGGCCTTTGTTCACCAGCCCTTCAATGTCAGTCTCGATCGTTCATGGCGGGACGAGCGTGCGGAGCGGCCCCGCGTGGCGGATACAGCTGTGTCTAGTTATCAGGCAGCTCGCAGCTGTGGCGGATATAGCAGAGCGGGAACGAGCGGTGGAAATACCAACAGCGGCTTTTACATGACGTGACCGACCGTTTTACACTTACGTGACCGAGTGCCAAGGGCCCTGTTTCACCGGTGATAGCAGCACGCCGATTTTACGACTTGTCAAATTGGGTTTTCACATGGAGACATCAACAGGCCCATTGCTCCAACACTACCACAAGTGTGACGTCAGCTCGCGCAATTTGATAGCAGCGTGGTAGCAGCAGCCCGTGAAACACCGCCAAGGGTTCATGAAATGCAGCAACAGCCTAACATAATATTCACTTTTTTATTTGACCAGTAGTTAAACGCGTATCTAAGCAAAATCAAAGTATTATTACGCACTTATAAAAACGTTCTCAGGACTAGACGGTAGTATCGTTCATTCAGCCGATGCCTTCCAAGCTCAGTTGATAGACGACAATTTACGATAATTACATAAGTGCCTGATGGCTCGAGTCCAGGCCTGAGCAGCCGGCGGTGGCTGACGTCATCAGACACACCCCTGGAGCGGACCAATCACGGCCGAGATGCTGTCAGCCCACTGCGTATGTTTCCACGGATTGACCTTGGCACCCTGACAGTGCCAGAGGGGGTCACATGGTCCTTCTGAGTTCTCAATGTAGATCAGAAGACCTGCACCTCATGACCCAGCCCCTGACCAAGACGGTGACTTTGCTCGTGACCTCGTTCAGAGCGCGACACTGACCAACGACCATCATGATCATATCGGGCGGGGACGCTTTGGTTCGGTGTTCCGGCAGGTCAAGACGGCTCAAGAAGGCTAGGTTACAGACCGGGTCAGCTGTCAGCTCGCCACTGCCGCGTCTGCCGGGTCTGTCCTCACTCTGTCACTCTGTGGGTCTAACCCTCGAGGTCAGTTCTATTTAGACGGACCCGAGCTATCAGCCGCCGCCAGCCCCCACTTGGCACCGGCCACTGTCGCGGGAGAACCAACACAAAAACAGCCGGCGAGAGGACACGCCGGGTATGTCACGCGGACCTGCCGGCCCCGCTCCCCGTGTGTCTGGTCTGGCGAACCCGACGGACCCACCCGGTAACAGGCCGGCTTCGTTCAGCAGAGGAGTGATCCCAAAGTGGCCGAGATTACGGGTCATCTCGGCCCGGCCCAGTCCCAGCTCCAAAGCGACCGAGGTGAAGGACGAAGGGTCCAACTCAGTTGCACATTGCACACTGCAGTGGCCGGCTGATCGGGTTTCGCAGGGTGGAACGGTTTTCCAGGATTGGCCCGCTGCTGATGGTCAGAGGCCAAATAACTACACGGTGACATGTATCAGCCATGTGGAGATGCGAATTTGACATTCCGTGTCACGTCCTTCCGAATCTGGAAGGACCAAAATCATTATGCTGAGTAGCGTTGACATGGAGTTTATTGAATGCGCTGTTTAGCAGGTAATTTGCTGGGCTCACGAGTTATCGAGACAGCAGTGATTTCAACGCTAAATATTTAATATTAGGAGCATAAGTTCGCTAGTTTGATTCTTAATTTTCACTCCGCCCCTTTCACTTTGCGCCCTTCTGGTCGCCTCTTTTCAAAGTTTGTCTAAGTTCACTCGCACCGCGCTGGCCGCAAGGCGCAGTATAGCTGCAAATATTTTCATGCTTGAGTGACTGCGAACATAAAAAGCAAATAAAATCGTGCTACGCGTCAACATTTAGGGATGAAGTACAGACATAACTGGATGGTTTTCACGCAAGCTGCAAGTGGCAGCTCTGGTCATAACTGGCGAGAGTTGGCGCGCATCACATAAACACATATATCACACGCATCCGCTTGCAGATGGTCTGTATCAGAGAAACGCCAGATGACGGGGCGAGGGAAAGTGCGCAAGGACTGGGGACGGGCCAGCACAACTGACCGCGGCGTATGGGGCGCGTTGGTCAGGGTATAGGTCACTGCTGGGGGCGGGACGGTAGTGACGGCGCCCGGGGCCGGGATGGACGACCCGGGACAGTCCGAAAGCGCGCCAGGCACGTGACACGCCGCGAGGTGCGCACATGCTGCCAACACTCGTTAGGCAGTGGCGTTCTCGGACGCCGAAGGTCGGCCTGAATAGTGGCCTGCGCGAGCAGGGAGGGGTGCGGAGAGGGACGTCTGGTGACACGGTGCCGGGCCTTAGAGCCAGGCCAGCCGCCGGCCGCCGGTCAGTGTTGGTGCCACGTCGCTCCGAGTAACATCCGAGCCTCTCGTGTCTGGTGGGCAAGTGACCAGCAACAAATCGCCTCATCCGTCAGAAGTGATCACTGGTCCCTCTCCAGTACAGCGTCTGTTGCGGGGGGCAGGAGCTCATCCCTGAGTTAAACTCTGACCTGAGATGGCCCCGCCGATCGCCGACCCCACCGCGCCGGCAGCAGACTGCAACGGCACTCCGACGCCGTCCATAGCCGTGCCGCAGAAGACCGACCCTATCGCCAATGGCAGCGCGGCCAGCTCCTACCCGGACAAGTACTTCGTGGCCACCTCGGAGATGGCGCAGCTGAGCCTGCCGGCCGACAGCGTGCCCTATGTGTCCGGCTCGGACAGCTCTCCCGAGCTGCCGCGGCGCCGCCAGCCCAGCCAGCGACTAGCCGACGACACCGTCATGTTCGACCCGTGGTGCGACCCGGCCAACCCGCGCACACTACACTTCCAGGACGTCTGCGAGGCCGCCTACAAGATCAAATCGGGCATCATGTCCACGCCGTGCACGCGCTCCTACATCTCCGAGGAGTGCAACATGCAGCTGTTCTTTAAGAAGGACTACATGCAGTACACGGGGAGCTTCAAGGAGCGCGGCGCGCGATACACGCTGATGATGCTGACGGCGGACCAGCGGAAGGCGGGCGTCGTCGCCGCCTCGGCCGGTAATCACGCGCTGGCACTCTGTTACCACGGCCGGGAGCTGGGCGTCAGCGTCACCGTCGTCATGCCAGTACGTACTGGGTGGGAGGAGGGGAGGGGCCGAAGGGGAGGAGGGATATGGGAGGCGGGGGCGAAGGACGTGGGTGTGCGGATATATGCATAAGAGATAGCCGGAACCGACGGAAAGGGAAAGTAGGGGAAATAACTTGAACGGGCATTCTTACATTCATAAACAGAAAATGAGGGAAGCATGCTGAGAGCAGATGATGAAGAGTGATAATACTTCAGAATGTTGAAAACGGAAAATGATAACTTAACAAGACAAATAATCCCAACTGACTGATTGCCGACCTTATATCGTGACAGTCCCTGCTCGACTGATTCGTCTACCACTTGACGAGCTCGCGGCTTTGATTTGACATCGTTTACCGTAGTTAACCTAAGTTCGCCTGGCTTACCGTCGCTGCCGGTGAGACCAGTGGTCCAGTGTCGTCTCAGTCCGCTGATCCGTGAGATCTGATCGCTAACCTCTGTCCGCAGATCATCGCGCCCATCATGAAGGTCCAGTCGTGCCGTAACTTTGGCGCAAACGTCATCGTGCGCGGCGACGACCTGGCCCAGTCCAAGGAGATCGCCATGACCATGGCCAAGGAGGACGGCATGATGTACATCAACGGCTACGACCACCCCAACATCCTGGCCGGCCAGGGCACCATGGGCCTGGAGATGATGGAGCAGGTGTCGAACCTGGACGCCGTGGTGGTGCCCGTCGGTGGCGGCGGACTCATCGCAGGCGTGGCGCTCGCAGTGAAGTCGCTCAACCCCAACGTGCTGGTAATTGGGGTCGAGTCGGAGAAGTGCGCCTCTTTCTCAGCGGCGGTGGAGCACGGCAGCCCCGTGCACACGCGCTGCCACTCGACCCTCGCCGACGGCCTGGCCGTGCCGCTGGTCGGCGTCAACGCCTTCGCCACCGCCGCGCCGCTCATCGACAAGATGGTGCAGGTGTCTGAGGAGCAGATCGCCATCAGCATCCTGCGTCTGGTCGAGGTCGAAAAGGCCGTGGTGGAGGGCGCCGGCGCGTGCGGCCTGGCCGCCATCCTGTCCGGCGCACTGCCCGAGCTGCGCGGCAAGCGCGTGGTGGTGCCGCTGTGCGGCGGCAACATCGACACCACCATCCTGGGCAGGTGCCTGGAGCGCGGCCTGGCCGCCGAGGGTCGCCTCTGCAAGTTCACCGTCACGGTCAGCGACCGGCCCGGCGGGATCGCCGAGCTGACGCGGCTCCTCGCCAAACTCGGCGTCAGCATCAAGGACATCATGCACGAGCGCGCCTGGATCCGCAACGACATCTACAGCGTCGAGGTCAAGGTGGTGGCCGAGACCATCAACGCGGCGGAGACGTACCGGCTGCGGGACGCCCTGTGCACTGCCTACGAGTTCGTGCGGTTCGGACCCGTCTGCGGCACCTACGACTGAGCGGCGCCAGGCGGCAGCACCGCGCCCGGCGTGTCGTCTCAGACGGAGGACCGGGCGGACGACAGAGGGCACTGCGCACTGTCCCCGCGGCGTGACACGTATCGGGGACAGAATATCTACCGTGCAGCCGGGGACACCCCGAGCGTCGCGGACCGCGGCAGGACAAAGGCGGAGGGAGGAAATGTGTATCCGGGGCCGCGTTTGGAGGCCGTGATCGGCACGAAGCTGTTAAATGGAGGATGACTGGCCTGACCACTGACCAGACACTGGCGCGATTTGCATGGCTAAATTATTCAGAGCTCGCAGTAGCTGAGCGAGTGAACAGTCATGCATTTCGGCCAGCACCTGTATAAATACATCAGTTGTTTTCACATTGCTTTTAAGACGTTTATGGGGCCATATCTGACGAAAAATGTCAGTGATAAACTTAGACGGGATGGATGCAATACGTAGCCAACATGCTTAGCCACATTTTGTATGTACAAAACATAAAGGATGATCTTTCTGGTCAAAAGGATATCCCATGGTCATTATTGGTCAGGGAACATTTTTTTCTGCTCCATTGGTGTTGTTTTGTCATGAGGGAGGATAATCATAAGGCATTATTTATAATTTGTGAGTTATAAAAGAGACGCACTGTTTTCTTGACATCGACCCCGAGTGAGATGAAGAGCATCTTAGCTTCAAAGTATCAGGGCTAATATCGAGCACGGTGGCTACGGAGCTCTCATAACCCACTGAAACTAGTGGGGGTCGACGGCGACCAGCACGCAGCCTGTTTTTGGAATGGGACCAAGAGCGACACAGACTGTCCTGCCTCGTCAGCCCTGCGCGGGAGTCGAGTAAACAGAGCTCGTCCGGCCGCCGCGTCTCAGAGACACACAACGTGGGTGGTATGGCTGGCTCTGGTCCATGTGAGGAGCTCGTATCTCTCCGATCCACAGCTGAAGAGTGGCTATAGAGAGCCGTGACCGCTGCTCATCTTCCAACAATTCGAGTCACTTTTGGAAGGATCTCCCTTTCCCGACCCCAGTGCGAGCCGTAACGGATAATCTATCCCCTACCCGGCCTCACGTTTAGACCATGAAGGCAGTCTTAGCCATCTGACCCCTGTTGGCCGTCTCACCCATTTGACCTCGCATCTGATCCCTGAAGGTGAGTTATCGCTTACCTACCTCACCTCGTTGGGAGCGCTCCTCTATCTGACCTAGTCGTCGACCCCCCCCCCCCATAACCCTCGCCCGCACATGGGGGGGGGGGGTGGTTGCCACCCCCCCAGGCAGTCTTTCTGCTCTGCACTCAACATTTTTAGAGCTAGAAGGCTGATTTTTCGTATAGCTGCTCGTCTATCCTTTCTTGATGTCCACTGAAAATTTCAAGTTTCTGTGATTTTTGGTTTCGGAGATATGACCTTGTTTTTCAGGTCATGTCATGACCCAAATGGCCAATTCTCAACATCTTGCTTTTGCCATGGGCCTTGTGAGCTTTTGACACCCTGATTTCGGCCTTTTTTGCCAGTCTTACCTCCCACCTATCATGGAACATGTTGTTCGACGATGTACAGGGGTCAAGGTCAGGGTCAAGGTCAACCTAGGTCATCTAAGATAATTGCGTTTTAGGCAAGCTGAATTTACTTTTTGTGAAGTTTTTTGACTGCATTTTTGGTAAAAGCTTCTCAGATCTTGATTTCATGTGATATGGACCCAAAAACAATCGGTGCACACATCAGTATACACACAGACACACACAGACATACAAACACATATAATTGACCTTGACCTAACTTGACCTGAAATGACCTCAGCAGCAAAATTCTGGTCAGATAGTGTGACAAAGAGGTTCTAGCTGGCTTGACACCAGAAAACAGCATCGTCATCGGTATTTGATAAGCAGCGCACTTGATATCCAACGGTGACCCAAAACAGCAACATTTTTTAGTTTGACCTGACCTGGAAGGTCAATGACTGACCTGAGAAGGTAAAACTGGGTATCATTGGATTCGTCTCTTCCCAAAGAATCTTTTTGGTCTTTACTGCTAAGCTCTATCTCCAACAGGAACGAAATGGCGCGGGGGGGGTGGCAACCACCCCCCCCCCCCCCATGTGCGTTCTAGGATGGGAAAATGGCATGTGCGGGCGAGGGATAAGAATCTAGCTTTCTGAGCTCATGCATTTGACCCTTGAGCTCTCACTCACACATATCCGATATCGCCTGGAAGCTCTCACTCACCTGATCTCACGGGGAGTTCTCACCTATGTCACCCCTGTGAGCAGCTCTCACCTTTCCGACCTCGCGTTTGACCCGCTCAGCCGTCTTGTAGATGACCTCCCGGTTGGACAGATCGCAGGTGTAGGCGTGGGCCTCGCCGCCGGCGGCGCGGATCTGGCGCACCGTCTCCTCGTTACCTGCAGGCCGGGTCAGGTCAGGTCAACAAACGACTAAACACTTTCCAACGGGGATGGGTCATAACAGGGCAAAAGACTTAACCCTCGCCCTGGCAGGGGGGGGGTCGATGCGACCCCCCCCCTAAGGTTTTTCGAAGATAGCGTAAAAACGGCGGCGCGCAGCGCCGCCAAATTTGGCACAGCTTATGGGGCAACCTTTTTACATATGACCTGAAAATTTCAGGTCCGGGTGACCTTGGGTCAGGTCACCAGGTCAGAAAAACCGGTACAAGGTCATGGTCAAATTTCAATTTTCTTTTTGCACCTGTCCAACTCACAGTTTTGGACTGATTTCCTTCAAACTTTCAGGATGTGCTAAGTTCACCGAGTTGTATAACATATAGTTCGGGTTTTTTGAGGTCACTGACCTGAGGTCAGTTAGAGGTCATTACGTCGTAATGTTAAGCCTATGGGAAAATACTAAATTCGGAAAATACTGGAGATATCCGCTTCGTTCTATCACTTTTGTGCTTTGAAACCACAGTTCTTAACAGCAGGTCACTTGGTGCTTCTTTGTTTGGCGTACTTATCCATGGGTCAGGTCAAATGAGGTCAACTGAGGTCAAATGACGTTTTTGCCAATAACTTGGCACATAATGACGCTAGAGCTTAAAAAATGGTGTCATTGTGTTCCTGGTGATCAGCCGAATCGAATGATATGCGATATGATGCAATTTGGTTAACTTAAACTTAATTCATTACTTAAAGTTTACTTAAAATTTAAGAAAAACTTTAAGTACACTTAAGCAAGCTAAAAAGTACATCATTCGACGCGCCTTGACGTGCTGAGTTCACTGGTGCTTTTCTTTTTGCTCTATCTTAATTAGATCAAAAGTTATAAGCGAAAAACTTTTGACCTGTTTTTAGCGAAATTTTTACATTTATACCCCCCAAAACCCCCCTAAATATTGACCTAGAGCAACCAAATTTGCACAGGGGCGAGAACTCCGGGGGGCCCACCTACCTACCAAATTTGGTGTTTCTAGGTGCCATAGGAGCCAATCGCGAGGGGGGGGTCGCATCGACCCCCCCCCCTGCCAGGCCGTGTTATGAAAAAGGCCCTGCCAGGGCGAGGGTTAACACTTTCGTGACTGCTGCCGGGTCAGGTCACACCAGGTCAAATGACTGAACGCTTCTCGTGCTGGCTGGAGAAGTGGGTCGAATGACACGGCAGCAGGGGTGTAGGATCGCAAAATAGGTTGGGGGGGCTGAACCCCGGATGCCGCGCCGGTGGGGCGGCGACGAAAGGTGCTGAGCGGGGGGGGGGAGGAAAAAATCAGCAGTGGAAAAGGTGTTGACCGGGGGGGGGGAGGGAGCGTGGACCATGGTGGTGAAAAGCGGGTCTATGACTTGAGTGATATGACTTATTCTCTCCCCCTGGATCCAAGTTCAGGCTTATAAAATAAGGCGTAGGTATTTATATTCCGGCTCAACGTTTTGCAACCACATTTATGCAGTGTATGTTCCCGCTCTTTTCAAATGCAAAGTGATGCCAGCCACTAAAACGGTATATGTATGCTCTTCTTATACTTAAGGCTGATGAGAGATTCAATTTCTTGATTGATTCAGTATTTAGATTCCTATCCCCTAGTTTGGCAAACTGTTTTAGGGGTTCCTTGGAGGTACCCCTGCAATTTCCTAATATCTAGGTACCTACTCATTTTTCACCAATCACCCACTTCATTTCGGAAGGGTCAAGTTTTTGTGTAAAGATTGTAGACTGTTTAATGGCTCCCTTTTGGCTGTTTCAGGGACCTCCTCGACTACTTCTAGGGCCACGATAGCGGTATCGACAAAGTAGGGTAAGGGCGGGTAAGAGTACGCGGGCGATAAGAGTACGCATCAGCTGTTTCGGTTGCTTAGCAACGCGGGTTTGTCGAGTTCATGAAGTGACATGAAGCCGCCAGTGCGTGCTTGTCACCAACGGAACGTGGGCGTTGAGCGGCGACGCTGTTGAGTTTAAGGCGATGAATATTATTTTCGAGCGTTATGATATTATTATGGTATGGTACAATAATGTTGATACTTGGCAGTTCAGATAAGGTACATTTCCGCGATTGTTGTGGGAAACTTGTGAGGTTATCTGGGGAAATACTGTGCAGTGCAATATTCTGTTTGCGAAGTTTTGCACAACGTTTCGGGGTTGTTTTGTGCGCGAATTGCATGTACGGTAAGAGGACGCACTGTTCAGGAGGGTAAGAGTACGCAGAATTATACATTAAATCGAATATACAGAAATATACAATTATTAATCTATCGCTCAATGACGTTTGTTTTGTAGGTATATCATCAATGGAGCACTGTGATGCAGATGCGTACCCGAAATTCTTCCAAATACGAGTTATTCTCCCTTTTAATTGTGCATGTTTGATGTTTTTAAAGAAACACACGACATGATTATTTACTGATTTATAGACTTGAAAGATTTATTTTATGTTTTTCTTTTTGGATACTAGAATTAACTTAAATGCCCTCTGAGTTTGAAGTTAAGCATTTGGACAGTACAAGCTACATAGGTGTGCGTTCATATGCTTGCGTACTCCACCCGCCTGGCGTGCGTAATCTTACACACCCCATATGGTAAGAGTACGCAACTGCAGCGGTTCAGAAAATGTCAGTTTTAGACCACTTCCATTTACGCTGAAGGATCGTTGCCCCATGGGATGATGGCTAATTCAATGAACTTTAATATTCCCTATTTGCGATTTCTTTCTTTCAAATATTAAACAAATGAGAGCAACAAATCCACTAAGTGCGTACTCTTATACGACTTCACCCTAGGCGGATCGTGATCGGTAAAACAGGACAGTCACAGAACAATTTCTGTTGTAGTATTTCGCAAAACCCCCGCATTCTGCATATCATTGGAAGCATAATTTGTTTTTAAAGTTGTAGGTCGTGTAGCCACACGAATACTCCCAAAATGC